ATGCTATCTTTATGATTAGAAAGCCATCGGAACAAGAAATGCTATCTTTATGATTAGAAAGCCATCGGAACAAGAAATGCTATCTTTATGATTAGAAAGCCATCGGAACAAGAAATGCTATCTTTATGATTAGAAAGCCATCGGAACAAGAAATGCTATCTTTATGATTAGAAAGCCATCGGAACAAGAAATGCTATCTTTATGATTAGAAAGCCATCGGAACAAGAAATGCTATCTTTATGATTAGAAAGCCATCGGAACAAGAAATGCTATCTTTATGATTAGAAAGCCATCGGAACAAGAAATGCTATCTTTATGATTAGAAAGCCATCGGAACAAGAAATGCTATCTTTATGATTAGAAAGCCATCGGAACAAGAAATGCTATCTTTTATGATTAGAAAGCCATCGGAACAAGAAATGCTATCTTTATGATTAGAAAGCCATCGGAACAAGAAATGCTATCTTTATGATTAGAAAGCCATCGGAACAAGAAATGCTATCTTTATGATTAGAAAGCCATCGGAACAAGAAATGCTCTCTTTATGATTAGAAAGCCATCGGAACAAGAAATGCTCTCTTTATGATTAGAAAGCCATCGGAACAAGAAATGCTATCTTTATGATTAGAAAGCCATCGGAACAAGAAATGCTATCTTTATGATTAGAAAGCCATCGAACAAGAAATGCTATCTTTATGATTAGAAAGCCATCGGAACAAGAAATGCTATCTTTATGATTAGAAAGCCATCGGAACAAGAAATGCTATCTTTATGATTAGAAAGCCATCGGAACAAGAAATGCTATCTTTATGATTAGAAAGCCATCGGAACAAGAAATGCTATCTTTATGATTAGAAAGCCATCGGAACAAGAAATGCTATCTTTATGATTAGAAAGCCATCAGAACAAGAAATGCTATCTTTATGATTAGAAAGCCATCAGAACAAGAAATGCTATCTTTATGATTAGAAAGCCATCGAACAAGAAATGCTATCTTTATGATTAGAAAGCCATCAGAACAAGAAATGCTATCTTTATGATTAGAAAGCCATCAGAACAAGAAATGCTATCTTTATGATTAGAAAGCCATCAGAACAAGAAATGCTATCTTTATGATTAGAAAGCCATCAGAACAAGAAATGCTATCTTTATGATTAGAAAGCCATCAGAACAAGAAATGCTATCTTTATGATTAGAAAGCCATCAGAACAAGAAATGCTATCTTTATGATTAGAAAGCCATCGAACAAGAAATGCTATCTTTATGATTAGAAAGCCATCAGAACAAGAAATGCTATCTTTATGATTAGAAAGCCATCAGAACAAGAAATGCTATCTTTATGATTAGAAAGCCATCAGAGCGATCAATACAAATGAAAAAAAGGACAAAAGCGTTTTCATAAATGAAGCAAATATATTTGATAATGTAAAACACAAAGACCTATTTGAATTGCTAGGAAAACTTGACTTTTTGGCGAAATATTTTAAAATAACCCGCAATATTTACTAGGAAGTAACCAGCTGCATGCGGATGGGTAACGAGTTAAACATGTACACAAAATAGAAGGGTATTCACTGGATTTATTCAACCTTTACAGTGAAAAGTTCTTAAAAGATTAACGGATAACACTGTGTTAATAGGCGACTCACAAGGAAAGGGAAAATTAGAAGAAAGGATTATCCATTAAAGATAAGAAGATACAATATATGATTATCAGTAAGTAAAACTGCCAAAGATGAGAGGTTTGAATTGGAGACATCAAAATCAAAAAAAAAAAAAGTAAAGAAATTTATCTGGTTTGTGTAATAAGAGTCAGTTAGAAGTAACAAAATAGCGAAAGAAATAAGTATAACACATAAATGTGTGTTTGTGTGTGTGCGTGTGTGTGTGTGCGTGTATGTGTGTACATTTGACTAGCAATTTTTCATTTTCTGTTTTTTACAAGTTTAGTGAAAGACCAATGAAAATTCTTTGCTAAGGATATTTTAACTTTATTTTTTCCTATATTTCGGACAATCGTTTTGGTTTCTAGTACATATTTAAGTATTAAATATCGGAATACTTTCGCCTTTCGTAAACCATAATCAAATATTTTTTTGCGCAATATTGGTTTCATCATTTTCAAATATTTCTCTTTTGTGTTTTCAATTTACAGCTTTTGTTATCGTTTCTGCTTTATTATTTTTTAATGAAATATATTTAGTCTGGTTGTTCCTAAATTTGATAACATTTTATTGGTGTTGCATTGTTTGAATTTTTATGCTTAATGCTTCTGTGATTTGTAGTCGTTTTTTAAAGTTTATATGATGTAGCATTTTTGTGTCATTGATAAGGATTTGTTGGACATATGTCTTCGTTTGTGTTGGCTGATGATAAACGATTTAATTGAACTATTGGCAGATACATAGCACGTTAATAAAATGCTGTTAAATTCATTTCATTCTCGTTCCTAAGCGCGAACTATTACACTACCTGTACATCCATATATATTTACATCAGATTAGCCACGCCATAAAAAATAACCGTCTATTTTGTTAAATGATTATTATTATGTGAAGGTTTTCACACCTCAGCCATCTTTATTATGATTTATTATTATAGATTACCGACTTTTATATCCATACACCGATATGATTCGATCATTTTCTGCGGGCGTTGGACGTCTTTGGGTTATACATTGTAGCAGTCCACCATTATCCATTCATAGACAGTGAAAAATTAGATAGATACATAAAAACACATACATATATATATATATATGTGTGTGTTTGTTTGTGTATATATGCTTTATTCTTTAAAGTCTCTTAAGTAATATTATGGCATGTGCCTCTTCATGCGGGCAAATAAAATGCAAGGGTAGTTTGAAAACTTCTACTTTGACATGTTGAATAGGCTGAAACGTCAAAATAGAAGTGTTCAAAATTCATCAAAATTTAACATTTCGTCGGATTCTCATCCAATATTTACACACACAGAGACAGGCATACACAAACAATATATATATATATATATATATATATATATATATATATATATATATATATATATATATATATCGGAGTTTCGTAAACGGACCTAACTGTCCTCTCTCTCTCTCTCTCTCTCTCTCTCTCTCTCTATCTATCTATCTATCTATCTACCTATGTGTGTGTGTGTGTGTGTGTGTGTAGATGATAGATAGATAGATAGATAGATAGATAGATAGATAGATAGATGATACCGTAGTGGAAATTTCCCGAACGAGGACTAAATACACACACACACACACACACACACACACACACACACACACACACACATATATATATATATATATATATATATATATATATATATATATATATGTATATAATTTTAATTTGTCAGCCATAAATTTCCTACGTTCACACAAATCCCAGCTGGAGGATAACGCCATTGATGACCATGATTTCCGCGAGAAACTCTTGGTGGACACCATAACTGATTTTAGTCGTGTGAAAAGGAACTGATCGATTGTTCGACGACATTTCATCTTCATGGAATGGTTCACGATTTATTCGAAAATTACTTGTGTTTTGCGGATGATTTGCTTGCCTAAACGATTCTTGAACTGACACTCGACCAACCTTGAAACAACTCGGCGCTCAACCTAAAGAATAGAGAATATTTGCATCCCGATGGCTACGATAGCAAAAAACAAAATTTGATGAAGACATGTTGCTCGAATTTATCAGTCATCATAAAGATGCTTTCCAACACAGCAAACCTCGAGCCATAACTGATCACGATAGCACAAAACCTTATTATAGGCAGACTGATTCAATCAGTTGTGGATGCCAATGAACGTTTATTGCGCGCATATTTCTATTGAATAGTAGAATCACAATAACTTTCCGAAACCATTTCGTATAAAAATATGACAAATGAAAAAAAGCAATGAGATTAATGTGAATCAATTTCCAAATTTTATTTAAATACAATACTTTGTATTTGCCATTCAAATATTATTTGCAAATAAATACGATTAGAATTAATTCTTAAGTTCATCGATTCAATTTACAAGGTTTCTCCATGTATACAAAACTAGGCTCTTCGACGCGGTGTAATGTTTAGCCAGTTTGTCCTGTTAGGTCAATTACGATTGAGTATTAAGTTCAAGTCTCCCTGAGTGCTCCATACTTTCGGTCTTGTGCCACGTCTAAAATACGTTGCTAGATGTATTTGAATATTTATTTATTGATTTGTTCATACAACAATATATGTTTGTACTTGTGAGGTGGTAGTAAAATTTTATCGTCCCGATCCATTTTACAAAATTTGGCCAAAATTATTAAAAAATTTAAAATCTTCCATATTTATGTGACTTTTTAAAAACTTTTAAAATTAATGATTAGATCAAAAATACTTTTTCATGATGGTATAATTGTCACAGTTCAGAAAATTAGTTCTTTGTTTCAAATAAAGATAAAATACCGATTGATTCTGTAGCAGGCATCGTATACAAATTTGAAAATGGACTATCTGTAAGGTCAATTATATTGCTGATACATTACTCCCTTACCACGAACGTGCAACGAAATATTTGGATTTTGATAAAAAAATCCTTAACTTTTAAACATTAGTCCAATAACGCTCTGTGTAAACGAAAATATAATTTTGATGTTTTCTCAATTACCGACACGGATGACATACAATACAAATTGGCTATTAAATAAGGATTTTGGATTGCTAAAAGGGAACTTTATTTAAATAAACAAATTAAATCGTACATGAGAGTTTTGATGTAAGAATCGTATTGTTGAATTATATCAACCGTTTGTCGCTTTTCCTCTTTTATTTGTTTTTCTCTTTCTAAGAATTTTGAATTATGGTTCGTTACGAGTCTGCTGCATTTGAACTTAGAGGTCAAATAAATTTAACTGTTCTTAAGTTTTTATACCGCAAAACAAAATGTAACTCAATGACTAAAATTTTAATCATAGATTGAGACATTGTTTCGCATAAAGTAAAAAAAATGGGAGTTATAACGATGCCGACATCCACAGCTTGTAAAAGACCCTTCGAGTGGGAAAGACCCTTCGAGTGGGAAAGACCCTTCGAGTGGAAAGACTCTTCGAGTGGGAAAGACCCTTCGAGTGGGAAAGACACTTCGAGTGGAAAGACTCTTCGAGTGGGAAAGACCCTTCGAGTGGAAAGACTCTTCGAGTGGGAAAGACTCTTGGAGTGGAAAGACCCTTTGAGTGGGAAAGACCCTTCGAGTGGAAAGACCCTTGGAGTGGGAAAGACTCTTCGAGTGGGAAAGACCCTTCGAGTGGGAAAGACCCTTGGAGTGGAAAGACCCTTCGAGTGGGAAAGACCCTTGGAGTAGGAAAGACCCTTGGAGTGGGAAAGACCCTTCGAGTGGAAAGACTCTTCGAGTGGGAAAGACCCTTCGAGTGGGAAAGACCCTTCGAGTGGGAAAGACCCTTTGTCTGCGAGTTAAACGAAATATAGGGGATTTGCCTTAATCCTATATTCGTTTGTACAACACAAGAAAAATACAGGCATTGTTTATAACACTTATATATGGAAGGAGTAGATAGGATCACCTATTGTCCGGTTCGCACTCCTCCCCGGGATTTTGAACAGAAAAAGAGGTTTATCCTTTTGTTTCCTATTTAGGATTTGTCCGCTTCCTTCTAAAGTCTTTCTACTCCTAACGCTTGTTCTTTCCTGCGCTCAGTCCGCATAATAACCTTCTAACTTGTGTGGCTCTTGGGCCTTATATTAGGTGAACACTAGTAAAAGAAAATTGCTATGATTTCTTTATAGAGACGCTGGGTTTGGGTTATTGATAAAAATTAATTTCTATGACCGTTGATTCCTGTTATCGAAGTATTCATTTGCGAATTTCATGGTTTGCTTTCAAAATCTTATTCGTTCCAGGGATGTGTCTTTTGTTACTGCCTATAGTAATTTTCTGGCAATTCTTTCGTTCCTGGAATCAACAACAACAAAATAAAAAAAAAAATAGAATAAATTAGCAGGACACATATTGCCGTTGGCTCATGCAATCAAACTGATTTCTTCATTAAAGACTGAACATTTCTGGTCAAGGCCATTAGCGTCAAGAATTTTGTTCATGATCGTTATTTGCTTTCATTTTCACTTTTACACACACACACACACGCACACACACACACACACACGCGGGCGCGCGCGCAAAAACGCACACACGCTCACAAACACATGCGCAGACACGTATAATCACAAACTGCGACAATATCCAGTCGGTTAAAGTGAAAGAAAAAGCTTAAAAGATTTTAAAATTCTACTTTTTGTGGTTTAATTTTTTTAATATCACACCAAAGTAAATGAATCGTTTGTATTTTTCTCGATATTTATTATTATTAAAATTCGTTATTCTTGTTTAAAAATTCAGCATAATGAGTTCGATCCACACTGAGTGCTGCTTTTCTCTGGCTTTGTAACAGAATATCGGTGTTGCCAGGATTCTGACGATTGATCTTAAAAGCAGACGGGATTTTCTAACGTAATCTTTTTTTCTCCCATTTTCCCTGTTTAGTCATTTACTCAACTGAACTAAGAATAATATTGCATAATTAATAGCAGTGCCCATTTGTAAATCATTTTTATTCGAGCTTCTGTCGGACAACGTGACGGTTTTCAGTGCGGAATCTAGGAACGGCGAGCCGAATTCAAATTTCCAGCTCTGCCTGCTGCGTTCATTTCCATGCAAATGCAACCCCCCTTGAAAAAAAAAAGGTATGAATCCATCTTTTTCTCCCATCGGCTATTCGTTAAATAGTAAGAAGAACTGGTCACTCTAACCTTTACCCGGCAATCAGCCCAAGAGTAGGAAAACTTTGAATTCCAAATCGTGGAGAAAGGAACGGAAAATCACGCCACTATCTTTCTTCAGAAAGCAGTAAATCACAGATAGTAAAGAAAAAGGAATCTGTGGAGAGCTATGATCGCTAACGTCCCGAAAGGACATAGCATTTTAACAAATCCATTCAGCAAATGTCAACAAATTGCATCAAGATGGTTTTTTTTATTATTATTATAATCAACATTGGTGCAGATGTTCGTTAAGATATTATTTTTGTTCGGCACAAAGTCTGATTTCATTTTTCATAATGTGGGTTAGCATCTTGAATCTGGATCTGAAATAGAAGATTTTCTCCAAAATTAACGAGGACTATGCTATGTCTTCTTCTTCTTCTTCTTCTTCTTCTTCTTCTTCTTCTTCTTCTTCTTCTTCGTGCTGTGTCCCTGCAGGACGTAGGCGATCATGCCCTTCCACATCTTCCTGTCCCTTGTAGCGTTTAATAAGTTTTGTCTTCTTGTTATTTCTCCCAAACCTTGTTCTACCATCCATTTGCTCAAGCCCATCAAGTATGTCACGCGCTCCTTTCCTCTGCTCCCTCCCCCAATCTGTCCTATGAGGTTTTACAAGCCCTCCTTCTTCATTACGCACCACAGAAATTTCAACTGCCTCTTTCTGATGCTAAGTATGAGTTTCCTTTTTGTTTCCATTTTCTCTAAACCTTATAACCTGAAAATATATACTCTTTTCTTTATATTTGACTCTTCGTCATTTTTATTTCGATGACAGGAAAATTTTGATTCAGTGGAAAAAGATGTTACCATAGGTTCATAAAAATAATATAGATATAAATAAATATAAATGTTAATTCTGATGAAAATATATCTTTTACAATGATGTTCAACCTGTACAAGGTCCAAGAGTCACTTGAGGTAGAGAGTTGCAGTGTAAGAGGCACAATTTATACGGATATGTGGGGAAGATAACAGTTAGACTTGAGCAGAGTAAGATTGTAGTAATCGAGAAAGAATCCTCTTGGGAGTCGGTTCCACAAAGCAGCCAATCGAGTGGAACTTGTATCTCAATATTGGAATACATAGGGAATGAGGATGGTTCATTAAAATGGACGGAATATGGTGGGTCTTAGCCATGAAGGTAAGAACTGGTGTCAGTAAGGAATGTAGTTCGTCTGAGCACTTTCCATGGGAATAGCGATAAAGTAGCAAGACGCTTGTGACATTTCGTCTGTGGGAAAGTGGTTGCAGGATGGAAAATAATTTGTTACTCACAAGGACAGGGAGACACTTGAACGCTTTCGAGTCTGGAAAGTGAAGACTGGCAGAAAATGGAGTATTATTGCCATATATGGGCATGACCTAGGCCTTGTAAAGTTAGAGGATAACAGAAGGAGTCAGGTACTTACTAGAGTGGCACAGAGAATCGACCATATACACAAAACAAAATTGAAAATGAAAAAGTGATTTTTCTCATACTTCGGTCACAAGATGTTAAGTGCTTACAAATGGGAAGAAAATGCCGTTTTTAAATTTATATTGCTCAAGAGAACGAGTAAAAATACTCTCAAAGAAAAAAAAATCGAATGAATAAAATGTAATTCCATTAAGTTTACTCCTTTCTATTTTCCATTCTCTTGTTTTGTTTTTTTTGTTCTCACACATAAAACAGCATAAATTAAAAGAAAACATATATTCTCATTTGTCTTCATAGTTTTGTAACCCACTTTATATATTTTTCATGCTTATTTGTTTGTCTGTTCGCTACTTGCAAACGAAGATTAGCAACACCGAAAGGATCAAGGGGAGACAACTGTTTTCTTTTCTCTTGTTAGGAAATGTAAAGAAGAGATAAAAAAAAGAAATCAAGAAACGAAGTACGATTCACCAGCGCGCAGAAGGATAATCCAATTTATACGTTAAGCAAATAATAACCCCACCCACTACAATCTTTACATAAAAAAAAGAAACGAACAAACTAATAGTAGGCGTCGACCGGCAGGTCAATTCGTGCTAAGAAAAAACAAGACACAAACAACATTAAAAAGAAAAAACACGAATGAAGACAAATAAAATGCATTGCGTATCGAGAATGCTTAAAATATCCATTCGTTCATTTGTGTTTCAATAAAAGAATCAATCCGTGGGCAAGAGAGAAAAACTCAAACCATATTTTTACTTTCTCGTCCTCGCAAAAATATAGCACAGAGATTCACGCTATTGAATTGAGTCCATCCTGTCCACAGTATTATTTTGATGATCAGATTTTTAAACAACCATCCAGGATATTGTGTCGTCTGTATTATTTTAATGAGCATAATTTTTAAGCAACTGTGGTGTAGATTATGACTGCTGTATTATTTTGATGGTAATATTATTTAAACAACCATCGAATATATTGTGTCTGCAGTATTCTTTTGATTATTAAATTTATATCTATGTTTCATGACAGAGGTTAAAGGCATGGAAATAAAGAAATGCACGGCCAAAAAGCAACACTTTTCATTCCTATATGGAAGCAGTGATACTCGGCCTTATGCAAACCCAGTCCTTTTCCTTTATTTGGAAGATTTGAGGATGGTGTAAAACGATATTAGCGAAATTGTCGAAAACTGCTTCGATTTTGGGGCGGTTTTTTACGCCAAAGTGTGATGACGGGCGAATAGGTTTAAATTTATATTAAATTTAAACAAGATTAGACACGTGACTATGCTTTTTACACACACATCTTTGTATGTATGCATGTATGTAGAGAGAGGGGGGAGAGAGAGAGAGAGCGAGAGAGCTTTTAAATATAGAAATTTAGGAGATCAGTCTATTCTGTTATCTTGGGTTCAACTTTTCGGTATCAGGTGATTTCGGTCAATTGATTTACTAACGCTTTATTTTTTATAAATAAAATTTATGAACGTTATATTTTTTTTCAAAAGCAAAACCTTACAGCAATTATAGTAAAAAATAACATTTCCAGATCAAAAAACCTTTGAATGAGAGATCAGAAATTCTGCCCCGTTGTGTATATACTATAAAGATCCTTTTGAGTTCATAGGAAGTGGGATGAACAGAAAGTATGCATGTTTCATTTAATCTCCCACCGATACATTTCAAATAAAATTGGTTTCCCCTCCTCTTCATCTTCTGCCACACCCCACATTGTGCGCTAATTCATTTATTCATTTATTTTTAATATACATACATTTAAAGTTTATTCTTGTCCTGTATTTTATTGAAGCCTACTTTGGAGGCGCATGCGCATTCTCCTCAACACTTGTTACCATTGGTTGTGTCACTGTGTTTCTGGAACTGTCTTCCTCCGACCCCAATGTTGACATAGTGTTCACTCATTGACTTTCGTAAACGTTAATAATTTTGATAATCATTTTACTTATTGGCTCACCCGGCTCGTTTATCTGAGCAATTTCTTTAATGTGTTGTTATTGTTGCGGGGAATATGATTTGTAATTTGTTTAATAAAAAATTATAAAATTTCATGCAAATTATTTAATTTCCGTCAAAGCCAATTTTTCTATGTTTAATTCTAAATTAATTTTTATTGCTATGATATTAATTAATTAGATAAATTAACTCCTTCGTTAAAGTGCATAATGATATTAACGTTTTAGCTGGT